TTGGGAGCCCCCCCCCAACCTTCCCGCTCTCCGCGCCTGAGGGGAGGCGGCGAGCCGGGTCCGCACCCCGCTGAGAGCCGGCCCCGGAGTGAGGTGCAGGCAGCTTTAAAAAAAAAAAAAAAAAAAAGTCTTTGAAAAGAAACAACAACTTCATAGTCCCTGGAGGGGGTGTTGTCCTGGAGGAGTGGGACCAGGGAGCCGAAACCGGGATTTTCATTAAAAAAATGCCTGTTGCTCTGTGCGCTCTTTCCACTGACAGGATTTTTCCTAATTAGGGCGTTTGTTTGCTGCATAAACAAAAAAAACCACCTCATGGGGGTTGGTTGGGGTTTTGACTTTTGTTTTGAAGCATTGTTATTTTTATCATCTGTTGTTATGTAGATGAGAATTATTGCATTCTTGGTAGATGCTCGCATGCCTCCTGCTGCGACAGAAGGCAAAAGTTCAGCAGCCAGGTAGGGTCTGGCTGCCCTGGGCAGGGTTTTATTGCCGAGATTAGCGGTGAGATGAGGTGGAAAAGAAAAAAAGGCGGCTCCAGACAGCTCTGGGGCTTGAGGGGCTCCTGTCTGAGTTGCCAGTCTCTTAAAATCCTGGCTTTAAAACAGCCAAACTTGGGCAATCTCATTGTGCAAAAGGGAAACCAGATGTTGGGAGAGAAATAACATAAACCAGATCTCTTAAAGAAGAGTAAATCGCCTCTAATTCTTAAAACCTGTATTTTCTGTAGGGTATAACCAGCACACTGGGTATCTGAAGTTAAATGTTGGGTCTGGGCTTGAGTAATGAATTGACTCCTAAGCCAACACCCCTATTGATGCCAGCTACTGAGTTGCTATCAAGAGCCATTGAAGTTATCAGCGGAGCGTGAGGCAAGATTTCTCTCTCGGTTGCGAACAGCTTGTTGAATTTGAGAAAGGCAAGGGTTGTAATCTCCGTACTGACATGTCAAGCCGGAGGCTGGTTGTTCAGTTTGAGCGCAGACAGCTGTTTTCAGAACAGAGCTTGAGATTCAGCAAGCTCCTTGCACATGAATCTTCAAATAAGATAGTCAGGTGGCGATGATTTCTGGCAGGAATTATTTGAGCAGGTGATTAAAATCCCTTTTTGCTGATTTGGCTTACTAGGAAAAGTTTTGCTGTGCGTGGTTTTTAGATTTGTCACCGTGTTTGTACACGTTTGGGACTGGCATGTAGGACATTGCACTCTAGTAAGTGATCCTTGTAAAAAACACTAATTATTACCTAGTATGGGGGAAAGGTTGTAGGCATGCATACTGCTAAAAGAAAATGTTTGTTGCTCAAAAGCAGAGCCTGGTTTTCTTTTGAGCACCAAGGTGCAATCTTTTCACAATGTGAAGAGTTAACCTGCACTTAGAAGCACTTGAAGAAATTCCACTAGTGTGAAGTCTTGTCTGCCAGCTGAGGCACCGAGGCACAAATTTAGCTTTTGTGCGTATGTTTATGATATATTTATATTCACCTTTAATAAAGAGTCCCCTGGAAAAAAAAATTCTGAATGGAAGCAGAAGTGCTTTTGAACTCACTGGGGTTTTAATTATCTGTTGGTGTTGTAAAGCTTAACACTACTAGCTTGTTACAGAAACTTTCCAGACTTCATTCTAATCTGAGCTTCTGTAAGTAATACAGCGTGGAGACAGGCTAATCATTGTTTGCAAGTACAGAACTAAAAAAAAAAATACTGAGCCAAAGTTATCCATAGCATGAACTGTACTGAGTCTCGGCTTACACCGCGACTGAGTTTGACTGTAAGAGGAGTACATGACCCCAGGCTGAAACGCAGATCTCGGAGAAGGTGAGGTTTCTAAGGAGAGGGATTTTTTTTTCCCCCCTCCCTGCCTTGGATCAAACGATATCACTGGAAGGAGAAGAAGAAGAAACAGATGCAGTTTTTTGGCAGTTGAGCCATTCATGTCTGAGAATACTCGCAGGACAGAAAGTGGGATTTGTTTCTCTTTAAGAGCGGGGAAATGGCCTTTTGCTAAGCTGAATTTATAGCGTACAGAAGTTTTTCTGTTGGCTGAACACCCCAGGGGAGCACATCGCATGTACAGAAAACGCTCTGGTCACGCCGATCTGTGCAAAATTCCTCCCTCCTCAGAGCAGAGGAGGGTTCCTTGGGAGCCGTGCTCCCTCTTCAAGCCTGTCTTTGCATGTCTCAGTATGTCTCGACTGTTCAGAAAAGTGGCGATCTGTAATCCCAGGGAGCCCAAACAGAGAGGCAGAAATGCCTTCTGCCAGACCTTGTGCATATGCATGTGTCGCTTCAGCCTAGCACAGATGTGCTGGGAAGGCATTCACACATGTCCCTTAGCGCAGATAGTGTGTCATTGTATCTCGTATCTGGAAAGGCTGCAGAGTTGACCCTTTAACAGCGAGCTGCGAAAGACTGTACAAGCGTCCTAAAGTACTGAGGTTTCTTGCTATTAATTTTCAGTGTCACGTTTTTCTTTTCCATGCTATTTATATCGCTGGCCTTGACAGAGCTGTGTGTGGCTTATGTCTGTATATTTTCTGCTTACGTTCCTGCAGTTTCTTAAGCTTCTCTTGGCTTGCGTCCCTTTATTCTTGTACACTGATACATGGTTGTCTAGAAGTAAATTACCTATCCTTTTCCTCCACTCAGAAACATCTGCAATTAATTAAAGTTTCCTTGTCTTCTTCTGAGCCCGGCCTAACTTTCCAGCCTTCTGCATAATGCTCTTCCTGACTGACTCGGTCTTGAGTGCAGTGGCTCATGGTTGGCAAAGGAAAGAAGCGACCGCAGTGTTCCCGGTAGTGTGCCTTAAACCCAGCTGAGGGTCGAGTTCCCAGGGTTGAGGACGCTCTCTTGTAGCTTTTCCTCATTTCTATACTACCTTCATAGTCCTGAGATTACCCAAAAGTTTCAAGCACAGCTTTGAACATGCTTTGTGCTGTGCCAAGAGGTCTTTCTGTTCTGCATCACTCATAAATTGTTTCTTTTCATGTTTCCCCCCTGCAACTTTGAAGGCTTAATTCAGTGTGAGCTAACCTCCTCTGTTGCTTAACGCTGCGTGTAGGCAGGCAGACGGGCCACTCCTCGGGTCATGTTGCTGAAATCAGATCTTACATATGCAGCTTTTATGCTTCCTCAGTCTCATGATTGGAATCCAGCTCTGTGTGTTCCTATTCCCCTTTTTTGTTTTCAGCGTTTGTCACTTCTGTTGCTACGCAGAAGCAAAGGGTTTGGGCACCTTATCTTGCAATCTCAGACTGGAAATAGAGACAGTGGAGAGCTTGTCCTAAGCAGTCTTTTCAGTCTTGGCCTTTTAGCCTTTTGAAATGTAAGAGGAGGGACTCAAATGTAATTAACCAAAAATGCCTGATAAAGCTTTGGTAAAATTTCTACTGAGATGAACTCAAAAAAGAGGCTGCTTCCATCAACTCATCTGAACTTCATGCTAAGAATCTTCCTTGTGATGATGAGTCACGTCCAGCCATCTGCCAGATGTTGAAGAGCACTGGGGCACCTCATGTAGCCTTTCTCCTAGCTTTAAGCTCCGAGTCCATCTCTTCCTGGCGTCCCATTGTGCACACCTTTCCTGTACAGTCCTTACAACACAATATTTTTGATATAAAATACGTAGTGTTGCCAGCATGATTTTAAAAACTGATCTGAGCTTAAGCAGCAGGAGGTTTCCATGGGGCGTTTCCTTTTTCTTGGCAGCATTTCGGTCAGGACAGAGTTGAAAATGCTCTGGGCTCCCGGCAGGGATTAGTGGTGTAGAAAAGCAGAAGCTCCATCTTTCAAATCTAAACAACGTGTAAGAAAAATTACGATGACTTGCGGGGGGTGAGGGGGGAGCAGAAGGGGGAGGAAGCTTTGTAAACTGAAGGTTTTAAACTTTATCCACTTCGTGTGTGTGAGTCCCTCGCAGGAATGTTCAGCATGTGGTCATTTGCTATTTGTTAGAATAGCTGCTGAGGCCGTCCTGGGCTCCGACGTCTATTTTTCTCTCCAAAATAAAATTAAAATGGAAAAATGCATTCTTTCTACAAAGGAAAATATGACAAAATGGAGAAGCAGATCACAGCTCCATCTTTAGATGACAGTCACTTGCCTTGCAGAGGAGAATGCTTCAGTCTATTTATGTTCAAACCTTAACGGTCCCTGTTTGAGCCCTGTTTTGAATTCTGACTGATGTGTATGTTATCTTGCCTCTTTTACACTGGGCAAAGTCTCTGCAGTTTAATTGCAGCCTTAAAGTTCAGACAAATATTTACAGCCTCTGCTTTCCTTTTAAGATGAATAGCTACTTCAAAACACTCTCTTTGCCGTGTTTCCCACTCCTTAAGTGGGTTCTTGCTTTTTAAACCTGCCTGGGCAGCTTGAGAAATGAAGTAGGAGTCACAGCCAGTACAATTTGTTCTCTGCTTTATTTACAGGAGCCAAGCAATAAGCGGGTTCGGCCTTTAGCACGGGTCACATCCCTGGCGAACTTGATCTCTCCTGTGAGAAATGGTGCAGTTCGACGCTTTGGGCAGACAATACAGGTAAAAAGCAGAGTCTTTGAGTCCTAGAAGTCTAGAGACACAGGGAAGGTACTGGCTGTATGGGGGTAAAACAGGCACTGGGATTTCAAGGCATCTCTTGAAACTCTCCTATATTATTCATGCAAGGACAGAAAGCTTGTTTGGGACTTGGGGATGAAGAAGAGTTCAGGAGTTCAGAGGTAGCTTGCTAGATAACCAGGTTATTGAGGGTTTAAGCAGTAAAAAAAAAAATAAACTGATTCAGATAGGGAGAATTAGTTGATAAACCGTTCCAGTACTTGAGATACATGTATTGGAGCATGTGCTTAAATGTGAACTGACCTTGCTGCTCCGTGATCTTTCAATAATGTTAGAGAAGCGTTGTCTAAGGAACACTACACCCCATACATGCCGATAAGACCGCTTCTGTGTCTGCGCTTCAGTAACATTGCAAATCACGAGAGCAAAGTTCAAGTGGCTCCTGATTAGCCCCGTTATAGGTGGAATTATGATCCTAGTTTATTTACTTCCTCATACCTTGGAAATAGACCCAAGCTTTACCTGCCCGTCCTCCTCCCAGGCCCTGCTGCTGGATCAGTGCAGGGAGAGGCACATGGAAAAGCTTGCCAATCCCTGGGCTTTCAGGGCTTTCTCAGCAGCTTGATTAAAGTGTTCCTTTGTCTGAGGAAAAGTGTCTGGGTGTGTTTTCCTGCCCTGTACAACAGAGGAGGATGAAGGATTGGGAGGGGTATGGATAATACTATAATACTTCTGTACTTCTGAAATGGTGGCTCTACATATTTTTTGTTTTACTTTTTTTTAATCCCTATAGTCGTTTGCCCTTCGCAGTGACAGCAAGTCTCCTAGCTGTGCCCAGAAGTCATGTAGCAGATCTGCTGCTCCTACTCCTCCTAAAAGAAGAAACAGCGTACTTTGGTCTGAGATGTTAGATGTCAACATGAAAGAGTCCCTGAGCACCAAAGAAATTAAGCGCCAGGAGGTAGGCTGTCTGTTAAACAGCAGAACTGGGAAAGGCAGCCGAGGCCTTGGCTTGGGCTGTTTCCTCGGCAAGTAAAGGAGTAATGAGCATCTGTGGGTGACTGTATCTTCCTGTGCACCTTCATTTCTAAACCGCTAGATTTATTTCTGCATTAGGCATGGGAAAAGGTAGGCTTCTCTCTCTTGAGTCACTAGGGAGTTCGTCTCCCCAGTTTGACCCTTCAGAGATGCCAGACCCTTTCCATGGGGGTGCTCCGCATTTCTGAAATTCGAGAACCAGCCACACTGGTTGCTCTGCAGCAGACCCAAAGTCAGGTTCCTTGTAAAGCCAGCTGTCTTTCTCTTAAAGCTCTTGACAATTGGTTGGAAGCCAAATAGCAAGGCCTTGGCTTGCCTTTTTCCTGTAGTTCTTAGACAAATCTTCTAGTGACAATACAGAAGCTGACTAAAGACGCCTGGGATTTGACCTCTGTGGTTTTCTGGGTTTTGTTTTTTTCGTACTTGCCTGTGTAAAAGCAGTGATTTAAAAGGCGCTAATATTTAATTTGGCTTGTGCATGAGCGTCAGAGCTTTCACACAGTTGTAAGTAATGTTGCTTTCTCGGAGCTGGGAAAGCCGGCAGATTTACTTGAGGTTGTCATGCCCAGGTGGCATACAGTGATTCAGATGGCAAAACTGCCTATTGAAGCTGCACAGACAGGATGTACATTATGTGAGCTGAAAGGCTCTTTCAGAGGAAGACCGGGATTAAAAATGACTCTCGATGCTTATTCCCTTCCTCGCAGGCGATATACGAAATGTCCAGGGGAGAGCAGGACCTAATCGAAGACCTGAAGCTTGCCAGAAAGGTGAGTGGTTTTTCTCCTGCAGTCAGTAATCATATTACAGATAATAATGAAGTTTCTTTGCACCTGCAAGCATTGCATATCAGCTTTATCAGGCCCAGAATCCACAGTTTGAAAGCTGGCCTGGAAAGTTGACGTGAGCAGTCCTACAGTACTGGTTTGATTGCAACAAACCCATCCAAAAAAGGATTGCGCTTTGCAGTCCTGCAGAGCTAGTTGGGGAATCCCTCTCCCAGATGAGAACAGTTCAGACAGGAAAGTCCTTTTCATTTGAAGGCCTTGATGCCTTCGTACAGAGGTGAATCTTTTAGCGCTCAAAGTCGATGTTACTGTTTCTGTTGGCTTCACTTCGTATCTGTCCTGCGCGTGATACATCCCCTCATATTTAAATTGTCGGCTTTTGGGCTTGGGAGATTTGAATATATTTTAATACTGACGTTCTTTGACAGGCCTATCATGATCCCATGCTGAAACTCTCTATCATGTCCGAGGAGGAACTCACCCACATATTTGGAGACTTGGATTCTTATATTCCTCTCCATGAAGGTAAAAGCAGCTGGATCATTTTCACATAATGTGCTGACTAAGAGTTAAACTCTGTGCTTTCTCACATTAGAACAGCTTACTGGGGCATTGATGCAATTTCTATTCTTATGTTTCAATTCCAGACTTGTTGGCAAGTTTAGGAGAAGCAACAAAACCAGATGGAACAGTGGAACAGATTGGGCCCATTCTTGTGAAGTGGGTGAGTACATAACTTCGAGGCAGTAGGCTAAAAATGCGCTTAAAGAACATTTAAAGCTAGAAGCTGAAAAGCTGTGGGCTTTTGTGGCCTTGAGCGAAAGATTGAAACGGAAATCCTGGCTACACTGAAAACAATGGGAGTCTGTCAGCCGTAATGGGCCACGATTTCACCCTGGAGACTTACACTAGTGTGACTGCAATTACTTGCTGATTTATGTTTGAAATGTCTATATCTTCTGGACTGTTTGTCACTGATGGGATTTCAATAGTGTTATCGCTGTTAATCTCTCAAACATCTGAACTTCAAAGGCATTGCACGCAGGATGCCCTTGTTCTCACAAAAGACTAGCTACACATACAAGATAGTCTGTTAGCTTTTTTTATTGGGCAGGGTATCGCAGTAAGGGAAGTAGGACTCCCCAAGTTTGACATGTTAATGTGATTTGCTTTTCCTACGTAGAATTTGACTCCTGAACATTGTTCTGTTCTCCTGCAGTTACCACGACTCCATGCCTACAAAGGTTACTGTAGCAATCAGCTGGCAGCCAAAGCACTTCTGGATCAGAAGAAGCAGGACCGGAGAGTGCAGGACTTCCTTCAGCGCTGCCTCGAGTCTCCTTTCAGCCGCAAGCTAGACCTTTGGAGCTTCTTGGACATTCCTCGAAGTCGGCTGGTCAAATACCCGCTGCTCCTAAAAGAGATCCTGAGGCACACTCCCAAAGACCATCCCGATATCCAGATTCTGGAAGAAGCCGTAAGTAACAGTGATTTCATGAGCATTGTTCTGACATAAGCATGTCATTCTGGAGCTTCAGAAAGCTTTGTGAAACCCTCAGCGATTTCGTGGGGTGGTTTTCTCGGTGGACACAAATCTGTGACTGTAACCCCTCATGAAAGCAAATGAGAGATCAGTCCACATGGATTCCATCATCTGGAGTTCTTAAATAGCACTTAAAGGGAAGATATACAAACAGAGGCCACTATTTAATCATTTGTAAATGTTTTGGTTTATAGATATCTATAATCCAAGGAGTCCTCTCTGACATCAACCTGAAGAAGGGGGAGTCGGAGTGCCAGTATTACATTGACAAGCTGGAGTACCTGGATGAGAAGCAGAAGGACCCGAGGATTGAAGGCAGCAAAGCTTTACTGTGCCATGGGGAGCTGAAGAATAAAAATGGACACGTAAGTCCCTCGTGTTCGTGGTAATTAATTCTCAAGTTTGGAAACCTTCCCTCAGAGGTAGTTAAAACTGTTTGCCTGTTCTAGCAGGACCAGGAGCCCTTCCATCCTTAGGGTTAGTTTAGACAATTAGCTAAATTTAAAAAGCAGAAGAGAAAGCACCTGATGGTAGTCTGCATTTCAGGGTGTAAGGGAAAGTTTCCTGCTGACAGCTTTACAATTGGCCTTCAGAAGCTGGAAAATAATTAGCACAGAATTACCATAGAAAGTGTGCTCTGTGCCCAAGCACTCCATCCAAAGGGATTTCCTGCCGACTGTTTACTTTCAGGTGCTTTGACGTTCCCCATTATGAGCGCTGGCGCACAGCTCTTCCGAACAAAAGCGTTCCTGCAAACGCCTATTTGGCTTTTGAGGTGAACTGCCAGAAGTTTATCTCCCACTGCAGCAGCGCTGAAAGACCCTGCTGTACTCGAGGGTTTGCTGCCTTTTCTTCTGGCTTGCAGGAGTAACCTCGTTTTAAACATCAAATCTTTTTCTGTTTTCTTTATTTTTTTTGTTGGTTGGGGTTTTGGTTTTTTTGTTTAATTTGGCCATTACACTTCTGTACACATGAAGCATTTTCTATTGTCAGAAAAGATATTGCTTCTAATCATCCTATTCTTGGCATCTCTAAATCATAATTCACTTTTTAAGGGTTGTTAAAATAATAAACCTGTTGATGTAGGCCGAGTCTGTGCCACCACTGCCAGTGCCCCTACATTGCTGTAACAGGAAACTGTCAGAAAGTTAATGTGGGTGAAACTTCAGATAACGTGGCCTTGAATCCCAGAGGATGTGTGGCCGATTTGAATACAGGGTACGACGCTTCGCTCACATTCAGATGTGTTTTCCCTTTCAGAAACTCTACGTCTTCCTCTTCCAAGACATCCTGGTTTTGACCCGGCCGGTCACTCGCAATGAGCGTCAGGCCTACCAAGTGTACAGGCAGCCGATCCCTGTCCAGGAGCTGCTCCTCGAAGACCTGCAGGATGGCGATGTGAAAATGGGAGGATCCTTCCGAGGAGCCTTTGGCAATTCCGATAAAGGTACGGACCAAACCAGTTCCATCTGCGTGGTGGTGTTCATCTGTTGGTGAGGAGAGATTACACCTGGGCATAGATCCCCGTGGACCGAGGTTCCTTTCGGATAGCAGACGTGTGACGTGTTAATGTCCACCTTTAGACTGTCACTGCTGGGCTTTGCAGTTTTATATTTGGTGGCCATGAACTTACATACGGCACTTTGCAGCTGGTGCTCAGATTAGAAAACATCTATTTCAACACGTTTTTGTGGGGCTTGGGGAGTTTTTTTGGTGGGGTTTTGAACGCTTTCCCTGAAGCAGAGCAGGGCAGTCCAGGTTGCTTGTCTAGCAATGGAATCTCTAAATATTGAGCTAGGAACTGATCTGCTTTTTCCTATGTTTATCCTCAGCTAAAAATATCTTCCGAGTTCGTTTCCAAGATCCCTCCCCGGGCCAGTCCCACACGCTGCAGGCCAATGATGTCTTCCACAAGCAGCAATGGGTTAATTGCATCCGAACCGCCATCGCTCCCTTCCAGCGGACTGCTGCCGCAGCAGAGCTGAAGGAGCTGCCAGAGCTGAGCGAGGAGTCGGAGGAGAACAACCCCTCCGCGCCCAACATCAAAGCCCAGAAGAGGCAGTCTGCCATGTCTGGCGTAACCGACATGGAGCTAGACGAAAGCACATCCGAGTGTGGCTCCATCCTGGACTCGGAGGAAGCCAAGGGCCTGAAAACACACAGAACACCATCTGGGCACAGAAAAACGAGGGAGAAGCAGCTAAGTGGCAAGCAGAAAGAAACGCTTGTGTAAAGAGGAGCCCAGCAACATCCTGGTGGAAGACTGTTTATTTATAAATAACGTGTACATTTTTCTTGTAATGTGAGCATGATTGGATTCACTCTACTGAACAGAATATTTCTTTGGGTTTTATGTTGTAATGGCAGCTACTGGTATACAGTTAACGCTGTTGAACTGGAGTCTGTTTTTACAAACACGGCCACTTTGAACCTGGTTTTAATGCTGTGAGTGATTCAGAAGCCCTCGTGCTTTCGACTGCCCGTGGCAGATTTGAAGAGCACGCTTTGGTTTCTGAAAGATTTCCACGCGCGCTGTTTGAGGCTGGAAAGCAGTAAAGCTAAAGGGGAAGTCTGGGCCGTCACCGCGAGCCTGGCAGCACCTCCCTTTGCAGGGGGTTTGGATCAAGAGTCCTTCTAAAGTGGACTCGAAACCTGAATTCACGTTTTCTTCTTGTCTTGTACAGCGCATGGTTTGCGGTGTACGGTTATCATAATCCATGCAACTCTTCATGTTGAAAAAGGAGAAAAAAAAACAGACCCCAAGTTCAACAGGTTCTCAATTTACCTACTGGAATCTTTCATCTTAGTGTGTCCTTTGTACATTCCTCATTTTCACTCTTGTAACCTGCCAGATATTTAATTTTTTTATTAGTTGTTTTGTTTCAAGTTTGGGGGTTTTTTGGTTTTCTTTGTTTTTCTCTTTTTTTTTTTTTTTTTTTTTTTACTTTTGTAGTTTGTTTTTGTTGTTGTTCAGACTTGGCATTTCCTTTCAAGTACTTGATCCTTCTTGCTCTGAGGTGTGCGTGTACATACTGTTTCTCACGTCACTCCACAGTTCTGCGGAGCGCAGGCAAGCCATGGCGTTACGAGCCGGTGGCTGGGAGGAGACGCTCAACGTACCCCGTTACGATGAGCGACGTCAATGGCTTGTGTGCGCTCCGGACTACTGAAAGAGAACTGCATTGCTAACGGGGTTTAGGAAGGTTTTAGGCACGTTGTAAAGGGTGTGGGGAGGGAAGAGGAGCAGCAGCTAGAGGGGAATAGCAGGGAGCGAAGGTAGATTTTCTTGTTACTGTTGCCTTTTGGAAATGAAACGCCTCCCGCAGGGAGGCAGGACTGGAGGCAACCAAGGGGTTATTGCATGTGGTAGAAAGGTAGAGAAAAGAAAGCGTTTGAAGCTGATGAGGTGTAAGGACGGAAGAGATAGTGGTTGTATATACTCGTAACGGCGACACTGCCATGTTCTAGCGGTCCAAAGATTCGTGTGAGGGGGTGCCAGCTTGGTAACTGCGCTGCAAAGCGTCGCAGGAAACAAAGCGGTGACAGATTTGAGCAAAGCCGACAGGTTGTTCCTGTCATTCGACTGGAGATGATGGGGCGAGGACAGCGATCCCGCGATAGCCGTCCTCGAGCCTTACCTGAAATCCGTGCTCTGAGCACCGTAACTCGGGTGTAAAGGGTTATTGCCTGTCACGTGTTCGGCCAGTAATGTTGGAAATGGGAAGAGGGTGTACATAGACACAAACGTGTGGTTCTCTGTAAATGTATTGTACAGTTTCGAGTGCCAAGTACAATTAAATTCCTGACAGCCTCTTGCCTGCCTCGTCTGAGTCGCTGCCATGGGTGCTGCCAGACGGCAGCAGATAAGCACGTACCTGCACTTCTCCAAGCACACGCAGCTGGCCTCCCGCCGCACACGCCGGGCGGAGGGCTGTAGCTCGCACAAGGAAGCCGTGGTTTTATTCAAAACCCTTTTTCTGTCACGGTTCCTCTTTGCACCACTGCAGCCGGAGAGGAGGCGAGCCGGTGGTTTTACAGCTCCGTGTGCAGCGTGGGGCCCGGCAGCCACCGCCCTTCGTGTGTGACGGGCGGTTGCTGTAAAACAGGGCACAGCTGCCTGACTCACTCCAGCGCTTGCATCACTCTCCTCCATTTCTGGGGGAAAAGGGATCGGCGGCAATAATCCCTGCCCTCCCGGGGCACCGAAACCTCCTTCCTACAGAAAAGAAACCACCCCGCAGAACCGAAAGGCTCCCCATTTAGCAAATACTTTCAAATCCTCTCCTAGGCCAACCTTCCGAAGCGGCCCTGAGCGGAAGGGGGACGGGGCAGACTCCCCTCCACCGGGGCAGCTTCCCCGGGGCGGTGGGGAGCACCCGGTTACAGCAGCATGACGAAACCGTCGGGTCTCCGCAGCCCTCCCGAAAGCTGCGGCCTGACCATGTAGGGCGGCGTCTGGGCAAGCCTGCAGCTCCCGGGGAGAGCGGCCCAGGCTCCACACCAGCTCCCTCGGGCTGGCCGCGCTCCCCTGGGTCCCCCGCTGCACCCCCGGGGCCCTGCTCGGGAGTGAAGGCACAGCTCAGTTTGCAGGGACAGGGTTTACAGCTGAGCTTCGACCTGTGAAGCTGAGTTTTGATCTGGAGGGGACTCAGCCCTTCCCAAGCAGGGCGAAGCCAGAAAAAAGGCTTTTTGCCAACAAAAAAAAAAGGGGGGGGGATTAGTGAGATGCTGGGGTACACGGCTTGTCCTCAACAGAGAGGAAATCCTGCAGAGCGCCTGCTTATCCTCCCACGCGTCGGGCTGGGGCTGAACCTTCGTCTCGTTGTCCTGTAGCCAACAGACAGCAAATTAGCCAAAAAACTTAATTTCCCTTTAAAAGTAAATTCCCCCCCGACTCCCGGTGGTTCCTATCCCCGCTCCGTCCCTCCTGGAGGAATGTGCAGACCGCAGCCGTCCGCCTCAGCCCTCGCTTTGCTAGACTAAACAAGCCGGGCTTTCCTGGTTTCCTCCTGTGCTGAACTCCGTCGGGTCTTGGCCAGCCCTCCCCTCGCCTGTGCTGCCAAACCACTGAGCCAAGACCCCCCCCCCCCCATGTACGGGGAGGCCCTGGGACACAGCGGGGTGAAATACCCAAGGGCAGAGGCGGGACCTGGGCCAGCGTCGCGTCCCCAAGCCCCGCTGAGCCCCTACGTCCTTGGCCACCCTGGCCGTAGCGACATCCCCATCGTGGCCAGGGAAAGGGAAGGCGTCCGTGCCCGGCGGACACGTGGGCACCTCCGCCTTCGGTAAGCAGCTCCCCGGCCCCGTTATTTACCTTTGGAGATCCACCCAGCGGATACACGCAGAGAGGAGCCAACACCACCCCAGTTTACAGGTAAGACCTTCCCGGAGTTGGGGTCAGAGCAGGGCATGTCCCTGATCTGAGCATCTCCCCAGCACCCCGATCCCAGCCTCCCTCCTCCGCCGCGGTGACTTCTGGCAGGCCCAAAAGTGGAACCGCGGTCCCTTCGCTCGGGCTAGAAAAGCCCGACCTCAGGAACGCTGCCCTGCAGACCCTGCAGTTCGTCCTCGGCTTTGGAAACCTCCGTTAAAACGATGCCTAAAATAAAACACAAGCCACCAAAGCCCGAATTTTACACCCAGCAGCTGCCGTCCCCTGGGGACCCCTGCAGCCGTTGCGGGATCATGCCCAAGCTCAGCCTCTCCAAAATCCCGTTTTCCACATTAAACCCCGATGCAATTTATGCTGGGCTCTGCGGAGGTTCCTCCCCGTCCCCACGGACGCTCACGGGACCGTCCGGCCTCGGTGCGTCTGGGCTCGCGCAGGGGCACGGGGCCCCACGGAGGTTTCTTTGTCGGAGCGGTCTCCCTCTCAGCCTCCAACTTTCTCTTTTTCCATGAATTCATCAGCCTCCCCCCCACCTCAGCCGCCGCCTCGTCTGCAAATGTAAACCCAGATGTCGCCGCACACATCTGCGCACATCTGTGCTTGCGTTACGAGCCGCGCAGGCTCGGGATAATCCAACTGGGTGCTTTAACCGTCTGGTCTGGTCTTTTTTTTCAGCCGTTACCTGGATCAGACCGCTCAAAGCAAGACGCTGAGGTTGAGCAGGGCGATGCCGCCTGGAAAACGCCGTGTGAGGCTTTAACGTTGGCCGCTTGCACCCTCCTTCGTCAAAGCATCGACCTTTCCAGCTCCGGTTGGAGACATCCCGGGAAAATCGGCTGCCAAAATACCCATCAGCCGGCGGCTGCGTGCTCCTGCCTTCCACCGTGGTGGCCTCGCCGTTTTCCCGTCCTACCCCGCTGCCCATCTCGGATACCGTAAATAGGACTCAACCATAAACAGCGGGATTTTATGGGCCAGCAGGCAGTTTTATTAGGTTAATTATCCTGCCATGCTAATGAGGGCGCAGTTAAGCACAGTCAAAATCAAGGGCTGGCTTGACCTTCTCCCAAAGAGTGATGCAAATGTGGGAGGCAATGGGTGCTGATGATGGAGAGGTCGTGGGTGCTGACAATGGGTGCTGGTGGTAGGGAGCTCGTGGGTGCTGACAATGGGTGCTGGTGATGGAGAGGTCGTGGGTGCTGACAATGGGTGCTGGTGGTAGGGAGCTAGGTCGTAGGTCGTGGGTGCTGACAATGGGTGCTGGTGGTGGGGAGGTGGTGGGGGCTGACAATGGGTGCTGGTGGTGGGGAGGTGATAGGGAAGCAAAACCCCCCAGAAGTTTCCAGCTTCGCTCAGCCCCAAGGGACACCCAGGACAGAGCAATCTCTTTGTCCTCAGCAAAGTGACCCAGGGTCCCCCCAACCAGCCCACCCTCATTTTTGGAGCTCAAACAACTTCCCCTGTAGCTTGAACAAACACCTTAATCCTCCCGGGCTTTGAAAACGCCCGGTTATCTGATGGTGTTTGCTTCTCCCAGCTGGGTTCGGGCCAGCTCCCCCTCCTCTTGGCTCCTTGCTTGGCTGCCCGGGGCTTTTTCACAGCAATTTTGATTCAATCTTATTAAATCTGGAGCAGAACAGCAAGCGTGGGCAATTAGACAGACAATTAGGGAGCAGCTCGTTGTACAAGAGGAGCTGCCAGGACCTCCCCTCCCTGAAACGCGCTCGCGGGGCGAGTAGTGCCGTGCCTCTTGCCAGACAGGTTCCCGGCACGGCTCGGCCGATTCCTCCCTGCAACTGCAGCATTTAACGTGCCCGGAGTTTTTTCCAGATGAGGTTTTCCTCGAGGCGGTGATCCCCTCCCAGACTTTGTCCTACCTGGAGGCCCCATTTCCCATGTGTTCCTCAGTTGTCCCGTGGGTTGGCTTCTGTTTTGTGGCCTTCCCTCCAAAGCCCACAGCTCTAATTCCTCACTGGGTTAAACTGGGGTAAACTGGTGCCATTGTCTTGTAGCCAAGAAAGTCAAACTATCTTCTGCTTCCACCTGATCATCTGGTCTATTAGCTCCTTGGCCCAGCTGGTGAAGGTCGCTTGGCTGTTACGGGCACGTAGGAAAGAGGGATGGATGGTTGGAGGGAGAGGTGGATGGATGATAATGGGAACGCATGGATGGACGGACAGATGCATGGACGGATGGTTGGAGGGAGGGATGGATAGTTGACTGGATGGATGGTTGGGCAACTGGATGTATGGGTGGATGGACAGATGAATGGATGGATGATAATGCGGTTGGGTGGATGGATGCACGCATGGATGGACGGTTGGGTGGCTGGGTGGCTGGTTGGTTGGTGGGATTGATGGATGGATGGATGGATGGATGGATGGATGGATGGATGGATGGATGGATACATGAATGGATGAACAGATAAATGGAGGGATGGATGGACGGACAGAAAAATAGCCCTCATTGTCATTTGCCTCTGAACCCCGCTGTACTCCCTGCTGTAAGAGATGAGTAAAAATGAAAGCAGGCCATTACAACATGGTTAACCCTCACTCAGCCCCGGGGTTAACCCCTGACTAACCAGGGCAGGACTCATGACACCGCTCACCTGATGCACCACCACGTCAGCTGCCCCGGGGGCCACGGGGCTCTTCTCGGGGAGCCCAGAAGAGGCGTCACAGCTGATTCAGGTCTCCGTCAGCGCGGAGCACATCAGCTCCAGGCAACCAGGCTCTGCCTGGACCTGCACAAGGGAACCCTCCCTCGGCAGGTTTGACACGCTGCCAGCATCGCCATGGTGGCCCTGGGGCTGGAGAGACTGGGGGCACCCCTCTCAGCGGCCCCATGCAGGGCTGGAGGCCTTTGCACAACTCCACACTCCACCAAAATTGCCTTAAAATAGCCAAAAACAGTGTGTATCACCCCCCTTCCGCCAGCACCCTGCCTCTCCCCAAAACCACCGCTTTGCTGCAAGCCACAGCGCAAATCCCTTAATTAGGTGGTTCGTTAGGAGCCGGCCCCACAAAATGCCACCGGAAGCCGGGGTGGCCCAAGGGGGCTGGCGATCACCCTTCTTCTCCAGCACCCTGAAACTCCCCCGCCCGCTCCGCCAGGATCTGGCTGAACCGTGTCTGCTGACCCCGTGGCTCGGCCTCTCCTGCGTGCCCCAGCTCCTGCCTCCTCCTCCTCCTCCTCCTCCTCATCCGGGGAGAGGCAGGGAAGGAGGGAGGAGGCCCCATCCACGCCTCCCCGCCGGCGCGCCGCAGCGTGCCGGGGCAGAGCCGCATGCAAGCGGGGAGCACCATGGCCGAGCGGCTGGGGGAGGAGCAGATCGCCGAATTCAAGGAGGCTTTTTCCCTTTTCGACCGGGATGGAGATGGTTGCATCACCACGAAGGAGTTGGGCACTGTCATGCGCTCGCTGGGGCAAAACCCCACCGAAGCGGAGCTGCAGGACATGGTGGGGGAGGTGGACGCCGACGGCAGCGGCACCATCGATTTCCCCGAGTTCCTCTCTCTGATGGCAAGGAAGATGAGGGACACGGACAGCGAGGAGGAGATCCGCGAGGCTTTCCGCGTCTTTGATAAGGATGGCAACGGCTACATCAGCGCGGCAGAGCTGCGGCACGTCATGACCAACCTGGGTGAGAAGCTGACGGATGAGGAGGTGGACGAGATGATCAAGGAGGCCGACTGCAACAATGACGGGCAGGTCAACTACGAGGAGTTCGTGAGGATGATGACGGAGAAGTGAGCCCCACCACCACCACCTCCAACCCCATCCCGCAGGTAACTCGCTGGGATGCAGCTTCGTGCCCAACCCCACACCCATGCAAAGCCCCAGACCAATGGGGGTCCACCCCACCCATCGCAACGGCCACCCCAAATCTTGGATATTGCCCATCCCGACCACCTCCTGCCCTGCAACTCTTGCTGGCGGTTGGAAAAATCGATGTTCATGGAGTTTTTTTTAATTTTTCTTTAATTTCTTTGTAGGGAACAGAGGTCGTGGTGATCCCCCAGCCCCTCCATCCCCTACTGCCTTCTCTCCACCATCCTGGGCTGGAAAATCCTCATTTATCCCAGCCAGAGCGTCACCAGCCAGCGTCTGTGTCGGATGCGGGCGTCCCACCTGGCAGGATGGAACTCAGGGTGTGCAGATGGACACGGGGGGTTATCTCCCCACTGCTCCCCACGAGATGCACCCCTCGTGTCCATAGAGGTGCCGCTGGCCACCACGTGTCCCCCGGCACCACGCCGAGTCCAATAAAGAAATGTCCTCCCGCGTCCTGGTGGCTGCCAGTGCTTCCTTCAGCTTCTCTTTGGAGTCCCTGCTAAAAAACAGCCTCCCCAAATCACCGACATCGGTGCATCCCAGCCAGGGTCAAGCCCCGCATCACCCTCCTCCTCTCCCCCCCCGCCTCCTTTTTCCCTACAAGCTGGAAAGATGCCCCTGATGGGTGCTGGGCACCCTCCAGCTGCAGCCCCCTGGGTTGTGGCCGTCCCCACTCCAAATCCCCATCGCTTTTGGGGTCTATCTGCACTCCCAGGGTGTTGGGGGCCCTTTTCTCTCCGCCCGCCCAAGCTAAGAGGAGAGTTGGCAGCTGGGTTTAGCCCTAATCCCCATCCCAAAGATAAGTAGAGCAGGATTCACCTTTCCTGGCCATAATCCACCCTGTCATGCTCCCCGTGACTCAGTTTCCCCACAAAGAGGGTGAAACCCAATTGCAGCAGCCCTCCCGCCCCGGGCTGAGGTGATTCCCTACACGGAGGGATTCGAAGCTGAATTAATTGTAATGGGTCTTATTAATGCTCAGGCACTAACGAGCAAACGGGGAGGCGGTGTGAGCGGGGCATAGCTGTTTCGCGGGGGAGATCGCAGCTCCGGGGATGTTCAAGCTGCCGCGAGGACCTCACCCCCCCCCCCACATCCAGCCTATCCCTGGGGCCGGGATCTTTGGCAATCCCGGTTGTTTTTCCAACACTGGGAAAAACGGGCAGGTGCCTGCACGCCGGCCGGCAGGGCTGAGCACATCCACGCTCGCTCCACCCCAGGCACGGCCCCCAGCCCAGCACCCGGCACCTTCACCACGTGCTGCCCTCTTGCTCGTGCACCCAACCTGCCCGCAGCTCTGCAGGGGACAAGAGCGGGGCAAAGCCTGGCAAAAAAAAAGCCCCAAATCCAGCAAAATCAAGACAAGCGAAGGGGGTCACACCGGGCTATTGTGCCTGAGCCGCTAAAATTAGACCTTCCGGAAAACATGATTATTTATTAATGCTGTTTCAGAGGCAAAATCATACCCTGTATTTTTAGGCTTGACTTTTTCTCCTTCTATTCTGGGGTGGTTTAATTTCCAGAGTATTTTTTCACACCGCTTATCCTGAGCTGGTTTTTCTTAACGATGGTCTTTAACGGGAGGCTGGACCCTGTCCAGAACACCGGCCTTGCGGCCCCATCAGCAGCGGCAGTTTATTTGTGCTTTTGCACCGGAGACATTTGCCCATTTCTCCCCCAGTTGGATGCTCAGGAGAGCGCTGGGAAGGTTTCCACCAGCGTCGCTCGGGATGGACAGACAGACAGACGGGAGGGTCCTGTTTGCTTCAGCATTGCCAAGGGAAGGGATTTTGCTTCCCAAATCCAGCTTTCGAGGCCCAAATCGCCCCGCTGGAGGGGAAGGAGCTGACGGGGTGTGCAGGATTCGTCTCGGAGCTTGCACACTGCCTCCCGCCACGCGGGGCAGATCCGTGACTCACGGGGCGGTTTGGATCGGGCATTGCTTAATGATTAAATGAATTGAACGGGTACAGGCGATGCACCCGGTGCCTGGGAGGTGGGGAGAAAAGGGGGGACGTAGGGTGCCAAGGGAGAGACCCGCCATTGCCACCCCAAAACCTGGTCAGGATGGTCCCCTGCACCTGGGGATGGAGATTGCAGGATGGGACCTGGGGTAGGGATCACCTGGGATGGGTCCTGGGGGACCATCTAGTGTGGGACCTGGATTAGGGGTCACCTGAGATGGGTCCTGGGGGATCACCTAGGCTAGGACCTGGGGCATCCCTTGAGATAAGACCTGGGGGATCAGCTAAGAGGGGTCCTGGAGGAGGGTCACCATGGAGGGGTGAGACATGGGGGACCATCTAGGATGGGGCTTGGGGGATTATCTCAGCTGAGTACTGGGAGATCCCTTGGAATAAGACCCGGGGGATCATCTAAGATGGGACCTGAGGGGGGACCACATGGGGTGGCAGAGGAGGGATCACTTAGAATGGACCATGGGGGATCACCTGGGGTGGGACCTGGGCGTTCATCTAGGATCAGACATGGGGATCACCTAGAACAGGACACAGACGATCCTGCAGGATAGGGCGTGGGGGATCCCTTGGGATGGGACTTGGGGGGATCTCCTGGATGCAGACTGTAGCAGCTGATCCCATCTCCACAGCTGGCAAACAAACTTCCACCACCTTTCCGTATATTTCCCTCCAGCCTTTCCAACAAAAAAGCCACCAAGGGCTCCAGCACCACCCGAAAACAGGGGCCCAACCGTACCCCCCCATCGCTCCCCTTCCCCTGCTCACAGTTCTGCTTCACCTGGACACAGGTTTTCTCTAAAATGATACTTTTTAGGAGAAAAGCAGCTCATGAACCCCCCAGTGTCACCCACCGTGGGGGACCGGAGATGCTTCTGCTCCAGCGCTGCTGAATCAGTCACAAATTCTCCCCATGACCTTTTATTTTAGCAAAATGAGACATTTTAATAATATTTCAACAACTGGGCTTTAAAAACACATTAATTAAACGTTGGGGAAACAATACTGAGACCCCTCCAAGAGGAACCAAGGAGCTTTTCTGAGCCCTCCCAAAGGACGTTGAAAAGAAGGGGGGGATTTTTTTTTCCCCCATTTTCCCCATTTGTTCCCCCCCTCCCGCAGCCCCACGGGGCTGCGGCTCCCTGCCTCCTCCCCGGCAATAACTCTGCTCTTAAGCAAACATGACGTATTGCCTGGGAAATGTCGCTGCCCACGGGAAGGGGAGGCCCCTCGACACCCGGCTGCCATAAAAAAGTGAGGAAAAAGAAAGATTTTTGAAGTGGGGTTGATCCGGGTTTGTGGGGCGAGGGGTTAGGGGATGCCACGGAGGAGAGCTCGGTTGGGCTGCAGGAAGCCAGGTTCTGCACAGGGGAATAAATAACTCAACGAAACCCCTCCCCATTTTCCCCATTTGTTCCCCCCCTCCCGCAGCCCCACGGGGCTGCGGCTCCCTGCCTCCTCCCCGGCAATAACTCTGCTCTTAAGCAAACATGACGTATTGCCTGGGAAATGTCGCTGCCCACGGGAAGGGGAGGCCCCTCGACACCCGGCTGCCATAAAAAAGTGAGGAAAAAGAAAGATTTTTGAAGTGGGGTTGATCCGGGTTTGTGGGGCGAGGGGTTAGGGGATGCCACGGAGGAGAGCTCGGTTGGGCTGCAGGAAGCCAGGTTCTGCACAGGGGAATAAATAACTCAACGAAACCCCAAAAAGCCCTTTGCAAATACGTCGTTCCAATATTTAGTTTGGCGGAAAAACGTTTCATTTCTCAGGAGTGTTTTTAAACTTGTTTTAAAGTGCTTTTTCTCGCTGATTTTCCACTTTCAGGTTATTTGTGAAAGGAGAAATTACTGTCTGTGGGAGAAATTAAGAAACAAAAAAAACACACCACAAATCGCCCCACGACCGGGCACGGGGCACGGGGCAGTATGGGCAACGGTGCGCGGGGATGGCCAAGATGATGCTGAATGGAGCAATTTGGTGCCAGACCCAGCGCTGAGCCCGAGGTTGCACCAGATGGGGCATTGCTTCGGGGCAAAGTGCCTGATTTTGGGACTGGAGCAGTTGGGTTTACTCCCTTTTTTTTTTGGCATTAGCCTCTCTGTCGCATGTGGGACTCTGGGTACCACCACGACGCAGGTGCCCCAACAGCATCCAAAGCACCGGAGCTGCTTTGAATGACACGAGTTTCCTTGGACTCAGCTCACAGCCGGGCCAAAATCGTGTTACCCTCTCGGCCGCGCTTGCCAGGGCATCCAGTGATGGGGCTTGGGGGGCTGCGTTGGGCTTCCCACGGTGGGGAAAGGCTCCGGCCCTGAAAGTCTGCGCTGAATCCTGCCGGGTCTGCACCAAAACTGCCTCTGCTGCCCCCGAGAGCAGGGCCAGGGGAGGGGACAAGTGGGACGAGGGGACAGGTGGGACAGGGAGATGGGGATGAGTAGGAGAAGGAGAGGGGACAAATGGTACCGGGAGACCAACAGGACCAGGAGAGGGAAACAAATGAGACCAGGAGTTGGGGACAAGTGTGACCAAGAGAGGGGACCAGTGGGACCAGGAGCTGGGGACAAAAAGAACCAGAAGAGGGGAAAAATGCGGCCAAAAGATGGAACAAGTGGGATCAGGAGACAGGGACAAGTGGAACCAGGAGGTGGAGACAAATTGGACCAGAAGGGACCAGTGGGACAAGGGTACAAGGACCAGTGGGACCAGGGGACAAGGACAAGCAAGACCAAGAGATGGAGACAAGTTGGACCAGGAGAAGGGACCAGTAGGACCAGGGGACAAGGACAAGCAGGATCAGGAGATGGAGACAAGTTAGACCAGGAGAAGGGACTGGTAGGACCAGGGGACGAGGACAAGTGGGACCAGGAGACAAGGACAAGTCTTTGGGCTGGGGATAAGTGGGAGCAGGAGACAAGTGGGACAAGAAGAGGGGACCAGAACCAG